CTCCGCTTTTGCGGCGGGGACGGCGTCCTGGGCACTTCCGGGCCCGGCTTCTGTCCCGTGCCCCGGTCATTCTGCTGCCAGTTCACCGCTGCGAGCGGAGGTCGGGCGGCCCGAGGCGGCCCGGCTCATCTACGTGTGTTAGCAGCAACGGGGACGCTGCGACTGTCACGTTCTCGTGTTTGCGGCACACGCACGGCATGAACTCCCCGGCGGACGGCCCTCTATAAAAAGGCCGTGAGAACACGCGATTTTGCAACTAGTTCGATGTGGCAAGTCCCGTTCACCCCACGCGGCCATGGAGGAGCCGGGGGATGCCTCATTAACACCCCCGCCTCATCCCGCCGGCAGGGCACTCGGCGCACGCGCAGAGGCCGGCGCAGAGGCGTCTGGGAATTCAGGCTGGGCTGGCGGCTTTCTGGCTGCTTGGCATTGTGGGAGATGTAGTCCATCCTGCCTCCCCTGTTCTGCGGCTCCGCAGTAAAAAGTGAAGCCCGTAAACTGCCATTCCCAGGATGTGTGGGGTTTCCCAGGCTGCCTTGCGAAAGCATGGCGGGCAAGATGTGAATGTCAATAGTAAGGTACATTTTAAATTTGAAAGGACATTTTAATTCAAGAGGAGAAAAAAGACGACAAGGTGTGCGTAACCTCTCCTGTAGATTTTTCATCTTGACATCCACCGAACACACTGTGTAATGTAAATGAGTTGATTTCATGTTTCGTCCGCTTGAGTGTGCGGATTACTAGGCTTTAGAAGTTGCCATCCCGAAGCCTCATAGACTTGTGAACATGATTTGTGCTTTTCTACGAGTTGTGCAGCATGTGGAGAAGCTGCCCGCGTCCTGGGGCAGGCAGTTGTTGCCACACTCTATGCTCACCAAAGCTTCCTTGAAGACTCAGCCTTTGAGGTGGGGGCTGCTAGAGCAGAAGAAAACAGTGCATCCTAGAACTGTTTGGGGGTTCACCCAGAAAACCTTCTGGACGCAAGGACCGGACCCCCAGAAAGCAAAGGAGGACAGCAGCAAGCAAGTCTCTATTAGCAGAAATCAGAGAGGGGAAACGAGCGTCTCGACGTCTCAGAAAGGTAACGTATATAGCAGTACTTCGGTAAAGACCAGTCCCCCCAGCCAACGTGACAAAATCTGCCAAATACCATTTTATGCCGAGTTCACGTCTAAAGATGGGGTCGGGGAATTATTAAAATTAAAAGAATGAACTGTCGACCCACAGTTTTCACAACTTTATAATTGTTTTGGAAATTGATCTCGAATTTGGTGTAACTATTACATTGCAAATAATAGTTGTATGGATAAATAGGAAGAGATATTATTATCAGCCTATAGAGAAAGTGTTATGTTGTTCAATAACAGAGAGGCAGAGGACTGCAGAAACACAAGGAATGGGGGTCTTGTGTGAGACTGTTGGGTCAAAAAAGTCAGAAGGATGAAGAGAGCTACACTGTAATATTTAACGGGAATTTTTTAAACTTAACAAGTGTTGTAATATTCACAGCTTTACAGTAGACATTATGGGAGCTATTAGTTCTTGAATTAGAAAATTCCTATCAGGACTGAGTGTTTGAAGGAACAGGATTTTGGGGTGCCCAGGTCGATGACCTGATGTGGAAAGCAGAAACAAATACGGTTATGTCTTGATCTGATTGTTACTGCGCTCTCAATTTCGGGCCCCACACACTGTCTGTTGACATGTAGTTTATGATATATGGATAATGGAATAGAGATTGTCATTGTAGGCCTCAGCCTCTGAGCCTAGTAAAGAGATTGGATTTATGAAGCAATTACTGTTTAGATCAATCCCATAAATTATACAAATTTTGGTAGATGCAATATTTCTATTTTCTTTTTTAAAATTTTTCTTTCATTCTGTGTGTGTGTGTGTGTGTGTGTGTGTGTGTGTGTGTGTGTGTGAGTGTAGTGGAAGTCAGAAAAGGTTGTCAGATC